TCATCCAGGCTGGATGTAATTTAAACCTTTTGGAATCCTTGTTTACCAGCAAACCGGGGCAGGGAAGGACTTGCGAATCTCGTTGTACTGCCCTGAAAGTTCAGCCGTCCCAGCACAGAGCAATTTCTCTCCCTGTTTGTTTGTTTTTTTTTTTTTTTAAAGATATAGCAGTTGAATCTTGCAATCCTCAAGGAAGTGAAAACAAAAACTCTAACTCACCTCCTGCAAATTGTTCTAAGAATAGCAGACTTGCAAGGGAAAAAAAAGCTCAAATCGGGACAGGGCAAAATGTCACTTCTGAATACCACAACCTGGTATTTAATTATTTATTAATTCTGTTCATAATAATATTAATAGCAATAACGGAATAACAGAGTTGGAAGGGACCTTGGAGTTCTTCTAGTCCAGTGGTTCTCAACCTTTTTAATGCTGCGACCCCAACCGGTCGTAAGTCGAGGACTAAACCGGTCGTAAGTCGAGACTAAACCAGTCGTAAGTCGAGGACTAAACCGGTCGTAAGTCGAGGACTATCCAACCGGTTGTAAGTCGAGGACTTTCCCTGCCCGGGAGCGCCGTGCATGTGTGGTTTGCCCCCTGCGCCGGCCGAGGCGTAGCTGTCAAGTGGCAGAGACGGAGCAGGCCGACCACCAGCTGGCCCAGCCCAAGGGAGGTAAGGCACCCGTCGGAAAAGGGGGGAAAAATGGCGGACAAAAAAAATGGCGGACAGCCTTGCTTGGCGACCCCCATGAAATGGTCGATCGACCCCAAATGGGGTCCCGACCCACAGGTTGAGAACCACTGTTCTAGTCCAACCCCCTGCTCAGGCAGGAAACCCTATACAGTACTATTTCAGACAAGTGGTTTTCCAATCTCTTCTTTAGAAGAGAGGAGAAGAGAAGAGAAGAGAAGAGAAGAGAAGAGAAGAGAAGAGAAGAGAAGAGAAGAGAAGAGAAGAGAAGAGAATATAGAAGAGAATAAAGAATAGAATAGAATAAAGAATAAAATAGAATAAAGAATAAATAGAATAGAATAGAATATATGGAATAAGAATAAATATAGAATAGAATAGAATAAAGAATAAAGAAGAGAAGAGAATAAATAGAAGAGAAGAGAATAAAGAATAGAACAGAAGAGAACAGAAGAGAAGAGAATGAAGAATAGAATAGAATATAGAATAGAATAAAGAATAGAATAGAATAAAGAATAGAATAGAATAAAGAATAGAATAGAATAAAGAAGGGAATAGAATAAAGAAGAGAAGAGAATAGAATAAATAGAAGAGAATAGAAGAGAATAAAGAAAGAATAGAATAGAATAGAATAGAATAAGAATAAAGAAAGAATAGAAAATTAGAATAGAATAGAATAGAATAGAATAGAACAGAACAGAATAGAACAGAACAGAACAGAATAATAACTTTATTGTCTGTTATTCCAAAGCAGCAGAGAGTGAGCTGACAGTAAACAAACCTCACAGATGAGGGCTAGTTGTTTGCAGCCCTGGGACATCCAGTCTCCGACTATTTAAGGTGGAATGGCTGCTGCTATTCTTCCCAGCAAGCTGACCGAGTCACACAGCAAGTCATTCTGCCAAAAACAAAACGGGATGCAGCTGAAATAAATGAAAAACAAAACACCAGAATCCACACTAGACTGGACACGGATATTTTCATTGCTGGAGGAAAATGGAAAATTGTAACGAATTGGGAGGTTGATCCCAGAAAAAAAGAAAGAAAAGGGAAGAAGATTATTGGGATTGACTGCAGAAATCAGACCGGTGTTTTTCAGCCTTAGCAACTTGGTGTGTGGACTTCAACTTCCAACTTTGCGTTCTTCTTGTGAAGTGTCAGCCCTGGGCAACCTTTTAGACCTAGCTCAGTGGCCCAGGGAGCTGGCTTTTTTCTTTTTACATCAGCACCACCCCCCCCACACACACGTAAACGTTGTTTTGAGACAGACAAATGGTGTCAGAGCTGCTCCCTTCTTCCAAAAAGACACAGCCATCCCTGGCTACAATTTCCATCTCAGATTCTCTATCTGGAGAAAAGATGTTGAGACTCTAGAAAGAGTACAGAGAAGAGCAACAAAGATGATTAGGGGACTGGAGGCTAAAGCATATAAGGAACGGCTGCTGGAATTGGGTAAGTCTAGTTTAATGAAGAGAAGGACGAAGGGGACATGATAGCAGTCTTCCAGTATCTCAGGGGCTGCCCCAAAGAAGAGGGAGTCAAGCTATTCTCCAAAGCCCCTGAAGGCAGGACAAGAAGCAACGGATGGAAACTAATCAAGGAGAGAAGCAACCTAGAACTAAGGAGAAACTTCCTGACAGTGAGAACAATTAACCAGTGGAACAACCTGCCTCCAGAAGATATGAATGCTCCAACACTGGAAGTTTTTAAGAAGAGACTGGACAGCCATTTGTCCGAAATGGTGTAGGGTTTCCTGCCTGAGCAGGGGGTTGGACTAGATGACCTCCAAGGGACCTTCCAACTTTACTATTATTATTATTATTATTATTATTACTCCAGTTCTCTCCTGGACTTTGATTTTGATCCTGACCATTTCTCTTCTATTCCGACGTTCGAAAGGAGCTTCCCTTGTGTTGCCTGATTTGTGCTGGCTGAGCACATATGTGCCCATCCAAGCGTGTGAGAAGAGAAATATTGTTGGTTGCGCATGATAGCCGTGTTCCAGGACTTGAGGGGCTGTTATAAAGGGGGGGGGGTTGACCTATTCTTAAAGCCCTTGAGGGCAAGACAAGAAGTAACAGGTGGAAGATCATTAAAGGGAGACCCAGGCTAGAACTAAGGAGAAATTTCCTGACAGGGAGAACAATTAACCAGTGGAACTCCTTGCCTCCAGAAGCTGTGGGTGCTCCATCGCTGGAGGTTTTCAAGAAGCCATTTGTTCAGCATCTTATAGGGTCTTCTGCTTGAGCAGCCAGTTGGGCTATAAGTCCCCCACTAATTCTAATACAGGTAATCCTTGATTTACAACCACAGTTGAGCCCAAAATTGATGTTGCCAATTGAGACATTTGTTAAGTGAGTTTTGCCCCATTTTAAGACATTTCTTGCCAGAGTTGTTAAGCGAATCATTGCAGCTGGTTGCTAAGTGAATCTGGCTTCCCCCACTGACTGTGCTTGTCAGAAGGCTGCAAAAGTTGATCACGTGACCCTGGGACAGTGCAACCGTCATAAGTATGAACCAGTTACCGAGCGTCTGAATTCTGATCACGCGATCCTGGGGATGGCTGCAGCGGTCATAAGTGTGGAAAAAAAACCGGTCATAAGTCACTTTTTTCAGTGCTGTTTTGAACAGTCACGAAACAAACTCTTGTAAGTTGCGAGGACTACTTGTGACTGAATAGGGAAAACAAAATAAAAGGGTGTGTGGTTGTGCGGAGGTTGTTTTGTCCAAAGGAGATTCGGATGCCAGGGCAAGCATTTGATTTTGCTTTGAACTTTATTTCAGCCATTCGGATGTTTCTCTCTCTTTATCACCATGGAAAGAAGAGCAAAGAGGTTAGATGGATCCACACATTTGCCCGTGGCAGTTGGCCAAAAGCGATGTTCAAGTTCCCATTTATGGCTGGCAGGATTTTTCCCGATCACATTTAAATAGTGGCTTGTGCCCACCTGGGTGTTCCAGCAGTTATGCAAATCCTACAGCCAGGCGGCATGGCTGGGCCCTAGGAATATGAGCAGGGCTGGCCATTCCCAGGCTGTTTTTTTCTTTCCAGCACTTCCTGGTTGGCTCTGCCCTGGGGTCAAGGGTCCATCTTTGGGGGGGCTGGCCCCGGAGACCAGCCCCTTCTCCCACAGATCTCAGGAAGGCTAAACCCAATGCACCTCGGTTTGCAAACATCCTGGTTAATTGAAGATGGAGAGAGTTTGCTGAACTCCAGCGGGGGGGGGGGGGCATTATTGAATTCAATTCAAGAAAAAAATACAGGTAGTCCTCACTTACACTTAGCACTCGTTTAGTGACCGTTCAAAGTTACAACGGCACCGCAAAGAAAGGGACTGATGTCCAGTCCTTGCCATTAGATTGTTGCAGTGTTCCCGTGATCATGTGATCAATACTAAGATGCTGGGCAACTGGCATGTGTTTATGTCAGGTCCCCAAATCCTTATTGTTTTCCCTGCATTATTTGGGGCCTGCCATTCTGCTGGAAAGGGGGGGATTGCTTTCGCTTGGGATAACTTTTGCTTTCTGCTTTTCCTCTCCGTCCTCCATCCACTCCAGTAAAGACTGTGTCTCCCTTATCAGGGAGACAGTTGCGGAGAAAGGAAAGCTGGAGAAGACCTTGAGATGCTCGGCCAACGTGTGCCAGTTACCCAAACATCGTACCACCTGTGGATTGGCTGGATTTCAAATGGA